AATAAGTCTCGTCACCTTCTTCTTCTTCTTTTCGCCTTATCTCTTCAGCTTCCGCTTCTTCAAGAGCAACCAAATAGGGATCTTTAATCTAAAAATATAAATTTATAATAAAAACCTCTATTCTTTCAAGCTCCCCACTTAATATCTCATGTTCCTGAGTTAGTTTTTCCCGTATACATCGCTCTAATTCAGGAGGATTAGCACCACGGACAACACATACAAGAGTTCCACCCTCAAAAATTATTTAAAATAACATTACCCCAAAAAATAGAAAGCATGGTTCACTTCTACCCTGATATTTTCCAAGAGATTCGATACTATCTACCTTAGCTATTGCAAAGTTTAATAGTTCATCATTTAATTCATTTTTTAATCTTTTAAACAATCCTGTTACAGCTTTACAAGGACCGCACCATTCTTGATAAAGATCGGTAACTAAATAAACAAGTAAGATCTTATTTAAATTTTCAAACTTAAGAGTCCTTCTTTTTGTAAAATTCCTTCCCATTCTTCCTGGGAATTTACTTCTATTTGTAATGAAACTTCTCCTTTCTTTTTTGACATTGATGTATTTATACGTTAGGTGATCTTTTGACAAAGGCAAATATCGCAAATAATTCAAATATTTTAGTTTGATCTACCGCTTGCAAATAGCAGAAGTGTTACTATGTCAATTAATTAGATAAAGTAAAAAATATAAAATACACATTAAATACATCGTAAATATAAGTATTTTATAATTTCAATGAATATTTTTAATTCAATAATAATGGTTTTATTTTTAATTGAAGATGCCAAACAAGGTTAATAAAGAAGCTCTACTTTTGATTCTCCTTTTTCGCAGTCAATAAAACAGCAAAAAAATCCGCATTTATATTTATATTTATATTTATATTATATCTTGTCGTTCCTATTACTCAACTTAGATGAAGCGGTGAAGCAAATTGTTTATCAAAACTAAGGTCATTCTTAAATATCAGCCCTTTATTTGAATTAAATAGAGAGATACTACATTAATTTAGGCTTGTTATGAACTAATATCGATTTTTAAAAAGTTTCAAGCTTTATCTAAATGTCAAATAAGAAGAGAACTGGCTTATACATGCAGTGATCTTGCCTTTTTTACGCATCCGAAAATCGAGTTTAAGATTAGTATTTAAAATTATTAGATTATTTCAGGTAATATACCAGTATATAAACAAGAGTGCGTGTATGTTCGTATGTACAATAAAAATGCAACTATAACCTAATATGTTTACCCCATGTTTTTGAATGATATCCTGATTTATAAAATGCAATGTTAATATAATCTTTGTAAATCGTTAAATACATTGTGTTTATTAAATGTCCACGCTTTGGTTTTTGAATTTTGTGATTATACTTTAGTCTATAGAACAATGCCAGACATAGTGCACATACATTTAAAACGATAGAAGGATATGAAGTTTTTCTAATATATATTTGAGATTTGTTCACATAATTTCGTTTAAGGTGATGAAGGACTAGTAGAACAATTTTCTCACAATGATATGACTAGCTGACGTTTCAATTGAATTTCACATAGCCTTAATTTCTCAAAAGTTGTTCTCATCCAAGGTGGACTGTTATTTCGACCTCGCATCGGTCTTATCAACACCCTCAGCGTGAGTCGAACCGTGGCAGTGCGGAATGGGAGCTTGACACTTTAAATACTTAGCCACAGGACAAATGTTAATTTTAAGAAAGGCCAGGCCTTTTGCCATATCATATCGATGAAGCAAATGCACATTTGCAATAAAAATCGACTACGTTACTTAATTTTTCGCATTTAAGTATTGTTTCTACCAGTCCTTCATCACCTTACACGAAATTGTGTGAATACATCTCATATTACTGATTTATTGGCGGTCTTGAAACAATACTTAAATGCGAAAAGGATATATATTTATCATTCAATTTCTTTGAAGCGGCAAATGTAAGGAATTATTGCTGTGCCTTTCCCGTCATTTGACAGATATCGTCAGACCAAGAGAATTCACTAAAACACTAAGATAAGACGTTCTTGACGGATGAAAACTTAGCTTTTAATACATTGTTATCGATTTTAGCTAGTTAATAGAATAATATAATATATGGAATCATAATATAGTGATATTTCAATAGTATTTGATGTCTTTGTTACTCTTGATGGCATACATATATGCAGGCTTTGGTTTGAAAATCCCCACGCAAGAGTCTATTTTCCAATGATGGAGGTGGCTTAAAAGAGTAGCATTAATAAAAATAAAAAATGGGACAATTAAGCAATATTTTAACAGATATTACTAGAACAATGTGGATACACCTCGTATATAATAGTTTAAGAGAAAAAATGGTTGTGACTACATTCTTATCTATTTCTTTATTATTAATATATGCTCACTTAGGATAGATATAGAGTTATGAAACAAATATCGGCGAGCTGCTCGAAAAAAACGTTAATTAGAATAATTTAGGAATTTGCAAATCGGAAAACGAAGTGAAGTAATGGCTCACAATTTTCTGACTCAAATGAAATTATGTTGGAGTTTATATCATTTTGATAGAAGAGGCGAGTGGAAGGGATTCGTAAGTTGGCCCACCGGAAGCTTTGGAGGCATGCCTTAGATATACGATTGTAGATTTTTGCAAATAAGTCCTCGGCGTAATGTAACGGACATCATCAGGGAAGGGTATTATACTTTACGATAATTCATCAAGGGCAAAGATACGAAATTCGTCTGGTCACAAACCTACCTATTTCTTATAGTCCAATTTGATCCACTAAAGGAATTATCTCATGATTTGGTTGGAGCTCCTATGCTTTTCCTAAATGCTGTTGAAAATTTAAATGGAATAATGAATTAATGCAACTGTAAGAGAACATCTGCACCCTACCCTAAAAAACATTTTATGTTTTATCATGCAGTAGTGCCGCATTTTATTGCGTTCCATTTCACGTCTGCGGTGTGTATGCAGCGCTCGTAAAACGCGTAGGGTTTGACAATCAAAAACCTCATTTTAGATCAATCAAACTTTTTTTATGTTCGGTGGTATATCTCGTTCACTTTCATCCTAACCAACAGCCATATGTAATTTCCACTTACTTTCATACACTCCACCCTGCAATAGAGAGTATTGGCTGTTTATTTGATTTCTGTATATTCCTTAATTTTTCGCTTACTGTTATTATCTTCATGTCTAACTTAGCGGTTGACATTAGATAAGTCCATCTGGTGTCCTGTATGGGCTGTGTTCGGTCAGTTCTGTCTTCTTAACACTTTGCAAGCTGTTTTATGTTTAGATAACTTCCTATGCATTGGCCAACAGGTCTCCCGCACATAGACGTAACTTCAAGAACATAAAACCTTATAGCATACCGATTTGGGAAGTGAGTCCAGAATTTCTCGAAATAGTGGCGTTACTGAGAAATTTGACATCTATTATACATTGTCCTTTTATCCTACTGCTTCAGTAGTTCACCTAGCTTTTGCAAAATTTAACATAGCAATAACATCAGAACCATGGTCGAATGGTTCAGCTGCCCCAAATAGATGCTTTTCTTCATCAAATTTGCTAGCATTTTAAAGCATTTTTCAAGTTAACCTAATGGGTAATTATTCCCAAATAAATTTTTCTCCATATTCTCCGTTCCTGCTTCCGATGGTTAACATCTGCAAGTCGCATGCTTCTTTTTATCATGGATTTTATGTATGGGTCGATAAATCTACCACACATAAACACATAACTATTTAGCAACCTTAGCTGCAAATGGCGTCTGACTATTCTCCAAAAGAAGGTATGATCGATGAGAGCATTAATATTTCTATATAAATGGCACTAATGTTAAATTTCCTCAGTAATTCGGCTATCTTTCTTGAATGCTGGTAAGATAGTAACATTAGTAATCTGGCCAAAGAGTTGACTATCAATTGGATTATCCTAAATGGTGGCTTCCTTTAAATCTTTTTCTTAATATTTTTAAATTGTTAATAATTAAGACTAACGGAATACTAAGATTTTCTTAGACTTTCTAGCTCCTGATCCTGAGGATTAACATCCGCTTGACTTACCCTCTTTATTATCATTGATTTCATTACTCCTACTTTAACTCCATAACTATGGCTTGAAAAGCAATTTAAAAGAAACCCTGCATTTGTTGTTTCCCTACGCGCCCTGTTTGTTTCGCTCTTGCTTACTAGGAGATCTATAAAAGGTAAGCAACAATCCTTTTCAGGCTCCGTGGTGAACTTGATATTTGTGTCTATTTAATTCATCAATTTTATGAATTCCCTTAGGGCTTCTTTGGCAATTTGCTATGTACCTGGCCGATAATTTAGTAATCAAAAAGTCTTCTTGTATCAGGCGAAGTTCTAATTAAACCACAAGGTTAGCTAATAAATTAGGGACAAACATGATCGCATAGGTAAGCCTCGTGTTTGTTCATACAGTTTACAATTGAAAGTTAAACTTTTACATCTCATGACTAGATACGTTAACGTTATTAGTAAATCCTTACCCAAATTTGTACTTCTCAGAATATCCGGGTTTCGGTCCAAAGTTAATTCTCGAGCCTAAGTAGCACCACCTACAGTAATGTTGATGTATATTGAGCCCGTATCAAAACTAATAAGCAAATATCTACTTTCTATCCACTGTTCATCGACCAACTAAACGAATTCTGAGTGGGCTACCTTCCGTTTATATCTTGAGCAGACCAGATGCATTCGGGCGCCTGGCATCCTAAGAGTTACTTATTCAAAAATGCGATGTCTCAGAGATTTGCTCTATTTGCTGACAGTTATATCGTGATGTGTTATGCATCACGCTACTCTTATTAGTAACAATAATTCTGAGTGGGATTCCTTCCTTATGTATCTTTGGTAGACCATATGCATTTGAGGGCCTAGCATCTTGTTGAGTAAATGTATTCATTTCAATTTCTCCAATTCCGCATTTGTTACATAATGTTGCAGTTTACCCCTGAGTTTAGACTTCGGAATTTCTCTAGAGACCTTATTGATAATAATGTACGTTAAGTTGTAATCCAGTACCTGCATCATCTTTTCTTCATAACTAACCTTATCCATAACCGCCACTGCTCCTCTCTTGTCTATCCCTAACACTATTTGCTCCTGGTCTCTTAGTTTTTGAATACTGTTATCTATTCTATTATGCCTTATTGATCCGTCTACATCGCTATCATTTAAAGGGTCAATCTAAAACGCTATATCACTCCTAATCTATTTAGGAAATTGGTCATTAGAATTTGAAGGTTCCACCAAAATTGCATCTTTGTTATTAATATTATTTATAAATGAAAAATTCAAATCATTAAATGGAGCTTTCACTGTCGTAATATGCAGTGATATTCTTGACATGTTTATCACTGTCTTTCCTACATAGCATCCCTCATTTAAATCTACCGTAACTGTCCCTAAATAGCTCCCAAATTCCAACGTTTTTATCCCAATCGCTTATCCTTACTCGCCTGCTGTATCTCGAGTAGATTTCTGGTACATTTTAGCCAGAATGCCGAATTCCTGCGACGGTTGTGCTTACACGTCTCCATAGTTCTGTGCCCGCTAGGCCCACAAAGTTGTAGTGATGGCTTCGAGAAGACTCACCGAGTGAGAGCGTCTTCTCACGATTTCAAAAATTTGCCCTTCCCCTTCCACCTTGCCATTACCTTTTCTCTGTTCACTGACAGGT